AAATTTCAACTTCTATTTTTTACAAAATCCTTTTTCAAAATAAAGTGCAGCTTTTTTTTTTTTTCTCTTTGAAATTTCAATGTTTCCCAATCCGCTTTTTTTTCCGAAAGTTTTGGGGAGTTCGAATTTTATTCCAAGGAATCAACCAAACGATCACCCGTTAGCCAAATATCTTGTACAGGAACCAAAATTTTATTCGAAATGAGAGACTCGGTCATTACTTCCGTGTCTAACATTTCTCCACAAAATTAAGGTTCCCTCAAAGTCAGCGGCCCAAATGTTTTTACCTGATAAATAGAACTTTCCATAATTTCAAAACTCTTTTCAAATTTTATTTTCAAAAAATTTCCAAAGAATTTTAGATCTTATTCCAAGAAATCAATCAAACAATCACCTTATAGTCAAATGTCTTCTAAGGAAATTCAAAATTTCACTTCAAAGTGAAAGACTCGGTCATCACCTCCTCATCAACACTTTTCCATAAAATCAAATTCCCTCTAAAGTCAAAAACCTAAGGATTTCTGTCTGATCAAAAACTTTCCATAATTTCTAAAATTATACTCGTGTTTTCTTTCACAATTCTTTCCTCCCAAGGAGCTCTCGATCTTATTCCAAGTATCTAATCAAACAATTGTCTCCTTAGTCAAATGTCTTTCCAGGGGATTTCGAATTTTATTCAACACTAAGGATTTGGTCACCACTTCCTTATCTACCATTTTTCATAAAAGTCGAAATTCCCCCTAAAGTCAATGACTTGAAGATTTTTATTCGATCAAACACCTTCCATAATCTCCGAGGCTCAACTTGAGTTAGAAAGTTCCTTTTTCTTTTTTTTAGCCTTATCTACCATTTTTCATAAAAGTCGAAATTCCCCCTAAAGTCAATGACTTGAAGATTTTTATTCGATCAAACACGTTCCATAATCTCCGAGGCTCAACCTAAGTTAGAAAGTTCCTTTTTTCTTTTTTTTAGAACTTAATTCTTTAATAACATGTTTTCTTGGGGATTTAAATTTTAAAAAGCCAATCGTTCTTTTCTTTTTCCTCTTCTTCTTTGATCACTAAGGTAAGAACCCAAATTCAAACTCAAATTCTTTAAAATTGGGAAACCACCCACCTAATTTACTACTGATTACTAAAATCATGATCAAAATATGAATCACTGCCTAAATTGAACCCCCAAATCTTTGTAACTGCATCATTGCCCCCAAACAACTTAGATTGCCACAGAATCAAATCACTGCCACGTCAAACTCCCCAGACTTTGGGAATGAAATCACTGTCTTTCTTGTTGTTAGATCGTTGGAATCAAATCCAATCCTTTCCAAAATATAACACAAGGGCATAATTTGCATTCGTGCCTATCTGGGGGGTAGGGTTGCCCTGTCCTAATTTAGAAGTCAGACCTAGGATTCACTAAATCATTCAAAGAGGCAATAATACAGTCCTTGAAAGGAGGGTGTCCTGCCCAACTTTCGAAGCTGCTAATGCTCTCTCCATGCAAAAGGAGGCAAGTTTGATCACAAAAAGGCACATCAGTTGTTACTATCAATATACCACTCCTTCCACAACGGAATGATCAAACAGTACTAGTAGCATAGTCTCATGCTTGCCTTATTGACATAACATAACCCACGAAGTGTCCGGGATACTATGCAACAAACCCGAGGATAGGTGAATGAAACCAGTCAATTTTGTTTAACACTTACCATTGGATCTCGAAGTCATCGTCATCACCCATTGGGTGATAGTTGCCCGACCAAGGGAATTCTGAGGAATTTAAAGGATTCCTACCAGAGTGATCAATCTAAACAATTGTCTTTCCATTACTTATTGTTTCCCGAAATGTGCTCATTTTATTTTTAAAGTGCGTGATCAAATTTCAACTTCTATTTTTTACAAAATCCTTTTTCAAAATAAAGTGCAGCTTTTTTTTTTTTCTCTTTAAAATTTCAATGTTTTCCTTTCCTCTTTTTTTTTCGAAAGGGGAGTTCGAATTTTATTCCAAGGAATCAACCGAACGATCACCCGTTAGCCAAATATCTTGTACAGGAACCAAAATTTTATTCGAAATGAGAGACTCGGTTATTACTTCCTTGTCTAACATTTCTCCATAAAATTAAGGTTCCCTCAAAGTCAGCGGCCCAAATGTTTTTACCTGATAAAAAGAACTTTCCATAATTTCAAAACTCTTTTCAAATTTTATTTTCAAAAAATTTCCAAAGAATTTTAGATCTTATTCCAAGAAATCAATCAAACAATCACCTTATAGTCAAATGTCTTCTAAGGAAATTCAAAATTTCACTTCAAAGTGAAAGACTTGGTCATCACCTCCTCATCAACACTTTTCCATAAAATCAAATTCCCTCTAAAGTCAAAAACCTAAGGATTTCTGTCTGATCAAAAACTTTCCATAATTTCTAAAATTCTACTCGTGTTTTCTTTCACAATTCTTTCCTCCCAAGGAGCTCTCGATCTTATTCCAAGTATCTAATCAAACAATTGTCTCCTTAGTCAAATGTCTTTCTAGGGGATTTCGAATTTTATTCAAAACTGAGGATTTGGTCACCACTTCCTTATCTACCATTTTTCATAAAAGTCGAAATTCCCCCTAAAGTCAATGACTTGAAGATTTTTATTCGATGAAACACCTTCCATAATCTCCGAGGCTCAACTTGAGTTAGAAAGTTCCTTTTTTCCTTTTTTTAGAAGTTAATTCTTTAATAACATGTTTTCTTGAGGATTTAAATTTTAAAAAGCCAATCGTTCTTTTCTTTTTCCTCTTCTTCTTTGATCACTAAGGTAAGAACCCAAATTCAAACTCAAATTCTTTAAAATTGGGAAACCACCCACCTAATTTACTACTGATTACTAACATCACGATCAAAATATGAATCACTGCCTAAATTGAACCCCCGAATCTTTGTAACTGTATCATTGCCCCTAAACAACTCGGATTGCCACAAAGAACCCAAATTCAAACTCAAATTCTTTAAAATTGGGAAACCACCCACCTAATTTACTACTGATTACTAAAATCATGATCAAAATATGAATCACTGCCTAAATTGAACCCCCAAATCTTTGTAACTGCATCATTGCCCCCAAACAACTCGGATTGCCACAGAATCAAATCGCTGCCACGTCAGACTCCCCAGACCTTGGGAATGAAATCACTGTGTTTCTCGTTGTTAGATCGCTGGAATCAAATTAAATCAAATCAAATCATTTCAAAAATATCACATGAGCATAAAATTTGCATTCATGCCTATTTGGGGGCCAGGGTTGTCCTGTCCTAATTTAGAAGTCAGACCTAGGATTCACTAAATCATTCAAAGAGGCAATAATACAGTCCTGGAAAGGAGGGTATCCTGCCCTAGTTTGGAAGCTGCTAATGCTCTCTCCATTCAAAAGGAGGCAAGTTTGGTCACAAAATGGCACATCAGTTGTTACTATCAATATACCACTCCTTCCACAAGGGAATGATCAAACAGTACCAGTAGCATAGTTTCATGCTTGCCTTATTGACATAACATAACCCACGAATGGTGTATATACCACTCCTTCCACAAGGGAATGATCAAACAGTACTAGAATTATAGTCTCATGCTTGCCTTATTGACATAACATAACCCATGAACAGTGTCCGGGACACTAAGCAACAAACCCGAGGATAGTTGAATGAAACCAGTTAATTTTGTTTAACACTTACCGTTGGATCTCGAAGTCATTGTTATCACCCATTGGGTGATAGTAGCCCGACCAAGGGAATTCTGAGGAATTTAAAGGATTTCTACCAGAGTGATCAATCTAAACAATTGTCTTTCCATTACTTATTATTTCCCGAAATATGCCCCAATTTATTTTCAAAAGTGCGTGATCAAATTTCAACTTCTGTTTTTTTCAAAATCCTTTTTCAAAATAAAGTGCAGTTTTTTTTTCTTCTTTAAAATTTCAATGTTTCCTTTTCCTCTTTTTTTTCGAAAGTTTTGAGGTGTTTGGATTTTATTCCAAGGAATCAACCAAACGATCACCCTTTATCCAAATATCTTGTACAGGAACCAAAATTTTATTCGAAATGAGAGACTCGGTCATTACTTCCTTGTCTAACATTTCTCCATAAAATTAAGGTTCCCTCAAAGTCAACGTTCCAAATGTTTTTACCTGATAAAAAGAACTTTCCATAATTTCAAAACTCTTTTCAAATTTTATAATCAAAAAATTTCCAAAGAATTTTAGATCTTATTCCAAGAAATCAATCAAACAATCACCTTATAGTCAAATGTCTTCTAAGGAAATTCAAAATTTCACTTCAAAGTGAAAGACTCGGTCATCACCTCCTCATCAACACTTTTCCTTAAAATCAAATTCCCTCTAAAGTCAAAAACCTAAGGATTTCTGTCTGATCAAAAACTTTCCATAATTTCTAAAATTCTACTCAGGTTTTCTTTCACAATTCTTTCCTCCCAAGGAGCTCTCGATCTTATTCCAAGTATCTAATCAAACAATTGTCTCCTCTGTCAAATGTCTTTCTAGGGGATTTCGAATTTTATTCAAAATTGAAGATTTGGTCACCACTTCCTTCTCTACCATTTTTCATAAAATTCGAAATTCCCCCTAAAATTTTGTTCTCCCAAAAAAGCCTTCCAAATACTTTATTGCGGCAGAGATTCATCAGTCTGTTAGGCCTAAAGTTACTTAACCTACAGGCCACTCTAATTAGCAATGACTTGGCCCCTAATTAAATCATGCAGACAATCAAGCTAAATCAAATAAACCTTTTACAGCTAACCTGTAAACCCAGCCCATCTATCCTAATAACTTTTGTAAACTCAAACCACCTCTCTTCCTCTCTCTCCCTCAAAACACAGTTAATCATATTAGATGGAGATATTGTGTTTCAAATGGAATTCATGAAGACATAATTGATTTGATATGATTAAGACAATCACATACAGATCTGTAAAACTTACATTAGAGTTACTTGGACTGAGATTTTTGATTGGCCATAAAAGTAGCCAATTCCACCCAACAAACTCGCAACTGCAGCCTTACCAGTGGAGATGGACTCAGAATCAAGCTGAAAACAACATATCATAATATCAGAACAGTCCATTTTATGCAAAATATAGATTTTGTACAATTGAATACAACTTAAACATAAAATGAAATGGCCACCGGGATTATTTGAACTGCTTGACATTTTATTTTGGTAAGTTAAAGTAAGATTCATTTAAAAAAGGCATCAAGGGAATGCCATCTGTATACAAAAGAGGAGAAGAAAAAAAAAACCCTATACATCTTCATGTGTATCAAAAAGCTCTACAAAATTTAAGAGTTGGTCAAGAAAAGAGATCATAGGAATTGTATAATTTTCCTTAAAATCTTGATCACAAAATTAAAGAATTGGTCAAGCTCTCCCTAAGCCTCGAAAAAAAAAGGGAGACAAGCATTGTTCTTTTCAAACTGAGAGCTGAAAAAGTCTCCTTGAGCCTATGAACTGGCTGAATAACTTTTATCAACATATTCATAATTTTAAGTTTAAACACAATGAGACCATCCAAATAATAATAACAAGAATAACAATAATAATAATAAAAACTATATCTTAAGAATCGTATAATTTTCCTGCAGTCACCAATGTGACTAGGCTTAAAGTGACATGTTACTTGCAACAAAACTATCAAAGACATGCCATGATCCTAAAAATTCTGCATACAGTTATTTGATTTCAAAAAACAAATGACACAAATATAAGGATTTCATATGAATGGATACCGCATCAGCCAAATTAAAGCATTTTTTGAATTTGTCATCAAATTCTTTTTCCTTCTCATCTAGTTGACTAGTCAGTAAGGTACCCAAAAGTATGAAGCAAAATTATCCCAACTTACAAAGCTGAAATAAATAGCTTGTGCTATTGAAAGTAAACAAAAAAATTACAAGAAATTGGGGTATAAGTCAACGTGTCCATACAAAAAGGATTGTAATATTGCGCACTAAAAAAAGAAATATAATTTCGAGAGGGAGGGTTCAACTTGTTTATGCAAAAGGAATATGATCCTACATTCAGAAGATATTTCAATTCCCCAAAGAGCAAAAAGTTCAAAAAATATTTAAATTTAAAATAAACAGGGAAATTTGGTCGGAGGACTGGGATACGTGGTCAGGAAAATGGTACCATTATGCTGAGTTCTTGTCAATGACATTGACATCATCACATTGCCTATTGACTTAAAATCTTGATCACAGCGCACCCATCTTATCTCTACACCCTCCCATGAGAATGACTGCACTACACCACTCACTTCTTTTAACAGCGTTAACAACTTCACTCTTCATTTCCTCTGCTAAATCAAACTAATGAACGTTATGAATTGACATGAATCCCATCTCTGTAACAATTCTTTGAAGTTTTTATTCTAGGTCTTTTAGACAACAATCATTCCCAAAGTTGTCTCCCCCCCCCCCCTCTCTCTCTCCTCTCTCTTAATCAGCATGCCCGCTTACTCTCCTTTGTCTATTAAGCTGATCTTTTTCCTTCCTCACTGAACTTGTCCACCAAGTTAATTAAAAAATGTAAGTGAAGGTTTTCATGTAATCCTATATGCAGTCCTCTAGATTTCATGACATCCTAGCATATTGCTAAATATTTTTGGTTGCCTCTTTTCAAATTGAAAAGAGGTTATTTACCTCAAATCTAATTCTGCAGTCTTTCTTGTTTGGCAATACCAACAAGCAGCCTGTTTTCTTGTGCTTCTAATAAGTTATACCAGTATTACTTATATGGAAGTTTCATAAAGAATGAGACACTTGTAATCTTATAAACACAATGTTCACAATCAAGATAAAGGAAACATGCACAGAACTTGACAGAAGATACCTGTACGGCTGCTGAGACGTTCTTTAAGTCTTGAATCTTTTACGCCAGTTCCAGATATAAAAGCTACATCTGTTCTGAAAGAAATCCTACCCAAGATCTGCATAAAAAACAGAAAAGCATATGGGGTAGAAGAGAAATAGAAACCTGAGAATGGCAATCATAGTCCGTGGACACATGTAACCTGTTACCTCCCTGACTGCCTACCTGAAATACTAAAATGTTATAAGAATCATCGGTAGTGTCTGAGAGTTGCAAACGACCAAACTTCCTCATCTAACAACACATACAAGAGTGTGAGTGAGCAAGCAAGCAAGCAAGCAAGCGCACACACACAGAGCATAAGTGAAAGAACCACTGCTGAAAACTGAAACATGAAACACTAGTACGATTATAGCACTGTAAAATGGAAGCAAATGAATGTTTTACCAATAGCAGAAATCAACATGATTTAGCATGCAGAAAAAACAGCAGACAACAAAAAACATTAATTCTTACTTGGGCTCCAAGATTTTGCTGGACAAGGTCTGATAAATTGTGAATGTGAGATGTCCTGAAGCCAGAATAATGGACTTCCAAATCATCCTGCAAAAAATTGGTTTGAGATTAAAGCTGAATTAAAAATATTGTTGGGGCCACAAAATACATAAACATGGAGGAGCACAGGCATGCATGAGTAATTATTTCCTCTTTCACAATAAACGTTCCCGTGCATCTATCTGACAACATACCATTGATTCTAAATTTAGATTCAAACTGCCAACATCTGTTTGTGATCCAAAAGCCAGGAGAGAATTCTCACGAATGTTCAAGGTCTCCCTACTCAAACTCAAAGCGTTCCCATCTTCATTCGCAAGATAGAAGAAACGGTGCACAGTTTGCATCACCTCACTAAGCTTGGATCTGATAAAAATCAAAACAAATGAACGAAACATAAGCCAATAATACCATCCTACTTCTAGCAACTCCCAATTTAAGAATAGAAAATATTCAAGAATTCATGATATGAAACAAAAACGTGAAAACTATAAATTATGCTAAGTAAGAGAACATAAATGTAATCTCTTACACAGTATACAAAGTCGAATTTGAAAAATAAAAAGAAAAAGAAAAAGAAAAAAGAGAACCTCACTGCCATAGTCCAAGAAGCGAGCAAGTTTCTTTAGTCATATTTGTAAACCATGACACGAGGCACAGATCTAAAGAGAGCTTCCTAGGCTATACTTCAAAGTGTGAAGCACGTGGCAAGCACATAGGTTTTGAACTTAAGAATAGCCACATCCTTATATATGGCTGAATTCATTAACAAATAAATATTTTTCTCAAAAATAAGACTTCTAAGATAAGAACACATTCTAATCTTCATCCTGTCATTGTTTGTATCAATGCTGTCATTAATTAAATTTAATTCATTCATTTCTTTGGGGGGTTTCAATAAATTGTTTGCAATTATAATTCAACAGAACCAAACATTTTTTATGATCCTTTGTTTTCGTCTTTAGTCCTAAAATTCTATTTAATTTACAAAAATCAATTGTTAGCTGATGACATGATGTGTAATTCCTAAATATAGACCTTTTAAAATTTCCCCCCAAAAATATACATTTATTTGATAAATTTCCAAACACACATTTAACCCATGAGAAGTATTCATTCAGTACAAGTTTGCTTTCGACAATATAGAAGTACTGTTACAAAGCACCCACAATATAAAACTACTATTATAACAATGGGTAAATGTACTGGCAACACAAATACACAACCCAATCGTTAGTACTGATGAGTGTATTCTTACAAGATCCCATAATTAATGCCTAAACTGTAGCATATTGCTAAATATTTTTAGTTGCCTCTTTTCAAATTGAAAAGAGGTTATTTACCTCAAATCTAATTCTGCAGTCTTTCTTGTTTGGCAATACCAACAAGCAGCCTGTTTTCTTGTGCTTCTAATAAGTTATACCAGTATTACTTATAAGGAAGTTTCATAAAGAATGAGACACTTGTAATCTTATAAACATAATGTTCACAATCAAGATAAAGGAAACATGCACAGAACTTGACAGAAGATACCTGTAAGGCTGCTGAGACGTTCTTTAAGTCTTGACTCTTTTACGCCAGTTCCAGATATAAAAGCTACATCTGTTCTGAAAGAAATCCTACCCAAGATCTGCATAAAAAACAGAAAAGCATATGGGATAGAAGAGAAATGGAAACCTGAGAATGGCAATCATAGTCCGTGGACATATGTAACCTGTTACCTCCCTGACTGCCTACCTGAAATACTAAAATGTTATAAGAATCATCGGTAGTGTCTGAGAGTTGCAAACGACCAAACTTCCTCACCTAACAACACATACAAGAGTGTGAGTGAGCAAGCAAGCGCGCGCACACACAGCATAAGTGACTGAGAGTTGCAAACGACCAAACTTCCTCATCTAACAACACATACAAGAGTGTGAGTGAGCAAGCAAGCAAGCGCACACACACACAGCATAAGTGAAAGAACCACTGCTGAAAACTGAAACATGAAACACTAGTACGATTATAACACTGTAAAATGGAAGCAAATGAATGTTTTACCAATAGCAGAAATCAACATGATTTAGCATGCAGAAAAAACAGCAGACAACGAAAAACATTAATTCTTACTTGGGCTCCAAGATTTTGCTGGACAAGATCTGATAAATTGTGAATGTGAGATGTCCTGAAACCAGAATAATGGACTTCCAAATCATCCTACAAGAAATTGGTTTGAGATTAAAGCTGAATTAAAAATATTGTTGGGGCCACAAAATACATAAACATGGAGGAGCACAGGCATGCATGAGTAATTATTTCCTCTTTCACAATAAATGTTCCCGTGCATCTATCTGACAACATACCATTGATTCTAAATTTAGATTTCAACTGCCAACATCTGTTCGTGATCCAAAAGCCAGGAGAGAATTCTCGCGAATGTTCAGGGTCTCCCTACTCAAACTCAAAGCGTTCCCATCTTCATTCGCAAGATAGAAGAAACGGTGCACAGTTTGCATCACCTCACTAAGCTTGGATCCGATAAAATCAAAACAAATGAACGAAACATAAGCCAGTAATACCATCCTACTTCTAGCAACTCCCAATTTAAGAATAGAAGATATTCAAGAATTCATGATATGAAACAAAAACGTGAAAACTATAAATTATGCTAAGTAAGAGAACATAAATGTAATCTCTTACACAGTATACAAAGTCGAATTTGAAAAATAAAAAGAAAAAGAAAAAAGAGAACCTCACTGCCATAGTCCAAGAAGCGAGCAAGTTTCTTTAGTCATATTTGTAAACCATGACACGAGGCACAGATCTAAAGAGAGCTTCCTAGGCTATACTTCAAAGTGTGAAGCACGTGGCAAGCACATAGGTAAGTCTTAAACTGGAGGCAAACATCATAAACTTTGTTCTTAAACTGGAGGCAAAATAAGCTGTTTTTTTTTTTTTCCTGGCTAAAGCCCATTTGTTTTCGGCTAAAAAGCAACTAAAAAATCTTTAAAAAATCAACTTTCCCACTAGAAAAAACTACATTTTTTAGAAACAATGAAAGCAACAGTTTATAGATTCTATAATATACATACACACACACACACACATATATATATTATATGAGTTTATTCAAATTGTAGATGAAAGTTTCACCTGAGGAAGATACATGATCTTTGGGGCAGGGAATGGGGTCACGACCCTGGGTTTCTGAGGATGTTCAACGGCAATTATAAGTCGATGAATCATGAAAAGGACAATCAAGAACGCGATGATAGCAAACCCTAGAACAACTTTGAGATCAACATTTAAGAGGCGAATGATACTGTGGTCTCTGCTTCTGTGCTTTCGGAGTTTGGGATTGCGGAGAGGGGTTCGATCTTCGTTGGCGTCTGTATTTGATTCTGCTTCTCGCACTTCGTCGCCCACTTCCAGCCATTTTCAGATCAGTGAGCACTGAGGAGAGAGAGTAGAGAGAGAGAGAAGAAGATGAAGATAGAAATGTGCCGTGGACTTCGGCTGGGCGAGTATGGACCGTTGTCTGGCCCAAGTTTAGGCCCAATAAGTAATAACGCTCAATTAGCAAATATTGGCCCACTTTGAGGCCCATTGTTTAATTGAAGCCCATTTTGACAAACTTTGCTGTCCAACTGGCCCAGGCAAACTTGGAAAAAACCGGAGCACAAGCAATAATCAATATTTCTAAAACTAGTAATTAAGGTCGAAAATGAACCAAGTAATAGGTTGTTTAATTTTAATTTGATAATTTAACGAGTTTAAAATTATATTTAAATTTGATTTTTTTATATAACGAATTGATCTTGAATGAGTTTTTAACAAGTTGTACATAAGTCGAGTTTAAATAACTTTATTTTGGGAACATAGAAAAAAAGCCATCATATTGGTTTATTAGGGTTATATCACCTCTACTTTTTTGTACATTTTCTTAAAAAAAAAAGCCAATAAATAGCTTTGTTAGCTTTTTTCCTACTTCCCAAAAGTCAAGTAGTAGAACTTAACAAGTTTATGTTTATGTTTGACTTATTTACATAATAAATTAATCTCGAATGATGAGTTTTTAACTTGATTTATTTAACGGCCATACTAGTAATTAAAATTCTACCAAAGGATGTTTTTCATGGCATTGAAAATTTATAAGGAAAGAAAGAAAGAAGAAAAATATTATTGTTATTTTTCCATGTAAGCAAAAGTGTTTGTTAAATTTCACTTATCACTCGTTCTACCAAAATTTCTTTTGCCTCTGTCACTTTTAATAATTAATCTTTTATGGTTTAAATCAAGTTGCAATTAATGTCACATTTTCATTGTACATATGACCTTAATAAGTTGACAAAACTTATTATATGAGCCATAGGTATTAGCACCTTTATATTTTCGTCAAAATTTCACTTTAATTCTTGCATCTGTACCAAAATTTCACTTTGATATCTCCATTTTAAATTTGTTTTAGCTTCGTTAACAGTAGATAAATAGAAAAATGACATCACAACTATCAAGTATAAAAAGATTAATTGTCACAATTAAGGCCAGGTTTGGCAAGTCCCACAAAAATCAAAAAAGTCAAAAAATTACACAAAAAGTAAAAAAGTCATTACTATTCACAAATAAAATATATTAAAAAAATATTTTATACATTTTTGTAATACAAAAGTTTGAATTACACTGTCAGCCGTACGGCTGCAGCAGGAAGGCAGGTCATACACTTTTTGGGGAAAAAAAATTACATATATAAAGCGACATGGTAATGTTGGGTCCTTGGGGGCCCACTAAGGGTTCCGTTTTGATAATCCGAAGCGTTAATATGTAAAACTCGTTGAGTACTATATGTCTGTAAAAAATCACGTTGATCGGATATCATTATTTTTTTTTCAACAGTTAACTATCACACCATCCGTTTTGTTTATACAAAACTGATTTGATCATATAGTTAATGATATCCGATCAACGTGATTTTTTACAGGCATATAATACTCGACGAGTTGTACATATTAACGGTTCAGATTATTAAAATGGGACCCGTGGTAGCCCCCATGGACAGACCATCATTGTCCAAACACTTTGCCCCGAAGAAGGCAATAATTTGCTGTATAAGACACACTGCCCCAGCAGGGCAGCCGTACAACCTACTCAACTTTCTTTCCCTGTACACATTTGTATAAACAAGCTCCTCGTGCCTGGTTCGCCAAGTTTAGCTCCACCATTCATGATTTTGGATTCTCCTCCAGTGCCTATGATTCTACCATTTTTATTCGTAAGACAGAGCGTGGTATTATTCTTCTTCTTCTCTATGTGGATGATATGATCATCACTGGCAATGACACAGTGGGTATCTCTAGTCTCAAACAGTTTCTCAACCGCCAATTTGAGATGAAGGATTTGGGTCTTCTCAGCTATTTTCTCGGCTTGGAAATCTCTCATGATCCGTCTGGTTACTTTCTTTCCCAAGCCAAGTATACTTCTGATCTCTTGGCTCGTGCTGGTCTTACCGATTTCAAGACTGCCTCTACTCTCGTGGATCTTCAGACTCGTCTCACACCTCTTGATGGTCACATGTTGTCTAATGCTGCTTTATATCGTCAACTAGTTGGCAGTCTTGTCTATCTCACAGTTACTCGTCCAGACTGTTAAAACCTATCACCTACTTCACCCACTAAACCTAACCCACTACACCACTACCACCTCACCTACTCCACTAAACCCACTACACCACTACCACCTCCATTTTACCTACTCCATCTACCACCTACTACCACCTACTCTTCTATATATAGGAATCATTGTAACATTCAATATATCAAAATATATTACAAGCATTTCTCTTTATACATTAAATTTCTACATGGTATCAGAGCAGGTTTAGAACCTAGTGTTTTTTTTTCACCGGCGGGCGGCAACCTCACCTTAGCCGCCCGCCGGACCTCAACCTAATCTGCTAAAATTC